TCCACCCCGGCGTGTGGGAGGGGGGGGGTTGGCCCCAATCCAGCGCGTTTTACCTCCACTTTAACTTCCATCCTTAAACTGCCTAAAGTTTTCCCGCTGGAACGAGTGGAACTTCTTCCTGGCTCCCTTTTTTTTTTTTTTCCTCCTGAATACCTGAATAAAAGGTGTTTTGCTCGTTCGCTGTAGCTTTCTGCGGATTTACAACCGCGCTGACCGGATTTTCCCTGGAGGGAAGGAGAAGGAAAACGACCTTCGTACCCTGGGCCCCGTGTCTTAAGCCAAAAGCAAAGAAACGGGGAGAGGGAAGGGGTTTAGAATCACAGACTGGTTTGGGTTGGAAGGGACCTTAAAGACCATCCAGTTCCAACCCCCCTGCCACGGGCAGGGACACCTTCCACTAGACCAGGTTGCTCCAAGCCTCATCCAGCCTGGCCTTGGACACTTCCAGGGATGGGGCATCCACAGCTTCTCTGGGCAACCTGTCCCAGTGCCTCCCCACCCTCTCCATTTGTTGGTTCGGAGGGAGGCTGCAGCCTTTGCCCTGGAGCCGCCCAAAGAATGCACTCCCCCTCCGTCCCACCTTGACTGTTACCAACAACCGTGTTATAACACTTCTGGTTTTCAGCGTCGGTTTTTCTTTTTCTTGGTGTGTAGGAAAATCATTCTTCTGAGCCATGCAGAAGCGTACTCAGTACTCCTTTGAAACAAGCAGCTACCTCACATTCGGTGCTGACAGAGATACAGCCCAACTGTCAGCCTCTAACCACACCCCCAAAACCTAAAGAAGCCCTTCCAGCAGATCCATGGACCCCGACTTCGAACCTGAAAATGCTGATCAGCGCGGCTAGTCCCGAGATAAGGAGCAGAGAACAGAGCAGGGAACTGTCAAACACCACAGGCGAGGTCCTACAGGCAAAACCCTGTTTGCAGGTACGTTGTCAAGGCGTCTTCTTTATTCGTGCTTTTTTTTTTGAAGTTTGCTGAAGGCTCTTTATTCACTACAGAAAGTTATGTATTAATACAGCGCTACTTTTTTTTTAAGTTTTGATTTTGGAGCATTTACCAGATGTAAGTAAGGATATTGCCTAGTTACGTACAAGGGGGTAACATTTTGCTGGTTCAGTTTCAGGGCTGTGGGAAGGGAGAACGCTGGGCATTCGACCGTGCTCACAGTGAAGCTGTTAAACGTTTACATGACAAAAAATTTCCAATTCTCTTTTCCTTATTTCCGTGTAGGAGCACTTATCGGGAGATGAATATGAAAAATCTCAACCAAGTCGGAAAGAGAAAAGTCTGGGATTACTGTGTCATAAATTCTTAGCTCGATATCCTGATTACCCCAGCACTGCAGAGAATAATTACATTTGCCTTGACGAAGTAGCTGAAGAGCTTAGTAAGTTGGTGTATATGCTGTTCTCTATTTCTTCATGCAGATGTGCCAATAACCTACCATTTGTTCGTACACTTTTGCTCCGTAGAAGTTTGACTGCTTGCTGGGTACTCTCCAACCTACTTCAACCCAGCTTTAAACTCTTCATTATTAGAGCAATTCTTTCAAAAGCCACAGTTTCTTCAGGGAACTGAACTGACAAACTCTGAAGTTTGGTTAATATTAAATGTCTAAATTACTGCCGATACCACAAATAACCAGTTGGAGCTTTCTGGATCCAGAGATGATGGCTAAGATTAGTAGTTGGATTTTTGTGGTGGGAAGTAGTGTTTCTCAAGCTGAACCAACAACTTCCTGTCCAGTCGTGACATGGAAGCAAGAAACTACTTTCTGCTCTCTATGATAATTTAACTTTCTCGTTTTACATTGCACCAATGATCTACCAAGAGTCTAACACTAGGCTGAAGGGTGTTTTTTAATGAGAGCTCTGAAATTACAGTGTTCTGCAGATTCTAACACTGGTAAGAGTTAGAAATCATACTGCTGTGTCATTATTTCTTCAGAAAATGTTGGGGGACACAGAACAGGGGTGAACTGCAAATTAAACCAAATGTTCACTCTCTTCTTTGTACAAAAGCATAACTCTCTTAAAAATGCCCAGTCAAACCCAAGAATTTAACAGACAGAAAAGGACAATATGTTAATAGAATAACACATCAGACCAAGGTACGAACCAGTTGTCTACCACAAGTTTCCCAGGTTATTTAATGAGATGATCTAAAATGGAGGCAATGAGTAATTAAAAATATTTTTGGTGTTTTTTTGTTTTTTTTTTTTTTAAAGCTGTATTGAAACCCACCTAATGGCTCTCTGGCAACAGCAAGTTTTATTTCTTAAGGAATGCTGCAAACCAAGTACGACTGTGGAAAAGCAAGCCCTTCCATCTCTAAAGGAAGAACTGTTTTATTTTCCTTGCTGGCAAGGTCTATGAGGGCTATTTTGAGAAACCTCTGTAATGAGGAATTGGCAAAAGTGGCTTAGAAGTATATTAAAAGGAGCAGGGCGGGTGGGAGTAGAGGAAACTGACCCTTTCTGTGTGCAGACCACGTTCCAGGTAAACGTATGGTGTTTTATGTAGCAGAGATGTCAAGTTCATCTCTCTCTTTGTTTCAGATGTTGAACGCAGACGCATTTATGATATTGTGAACGTGCTGGAGAGCCTGCACATGGTGAGCCGCCTTGCCAAGAACAGATACGCTTGGCATGGGCGACATAATCTCTGCAAAACCCTTCAGGCTTTGAAAAAAGTTGGAGAAGAGAACAAATACACACAGCAAATTCAGATGATCAAGAAAAGAGAGTATGAGCATGAATTTGATCTTGATGGTGAAAGAAACGAAGAAATGGCAAGAGCTTTTGGCTCAAGTGAGCATTCAGAAATGTCTTTTGTTGAGCTCCCGGGAATGGAGTTTCGTGCTGGTAATAATTCTCTATAAAGCTAAGGATAATACGTGATTGTAATGATAACTGTCTGTGAACTTGGGAAAGACTTTTTTTCTGAAATGCTGCTGCCTGAAAGGCACCACAACTGTTTGTGGTGAGAAAAAGTGCTCGTCACTCTTTCAGTTCTCCTACTCATTCAGTTCTTACACATCTATTTTGGTTTTACAGTGCAAGAACAAGGGGGCATCAGGTGAAGCTATCAACCATACCCAACATGCAGTGCAACTGCAGGATGTGTTACTGCTGAATGTTAGAGAAGCCAACAGTATAAATCATCTTAAATAATTTTAAATTATTTATTTTTTAATTTCGGTTTGATTCATGGAAGAAATGTTAATTAAGGATTGTCAGATATATTGTGTGACCTGCTGTTAAGCATCTTTAAGAGTGCAAGTTGTCAGACAATAGGAAATCTATACAGGGGGAAACATCACGCTCTCTCTTTGTAGTTAAACTTGGTATCTGCCTAGTTATCTGACTCTTGCCATGTAGAGACACGATTCTAGAGTGCATATCAACCCAGCCTAGTTGCGGTGTTGTTTGTTCTTAGACTAATTGTTACCGACAAATTTCTGCAGTTCTTAAGAAATGTTTGTAGCTGCTGCGTCATTTACTACTTGAATCCTTTCTCCTGTCTGCTGCAGCATCAGTAAATAGCAGGAAAGACAAGTCTTTACGAGTGATGAGTCAGAAATTTGTGATGCTGTTTCTTGTATCGACGCCTCAAGTAGTAAGCCTTGAAGTTGCTGCTAAAATCCTGATAGGTGAAGACCAGTTAGAAGACTTAGATAAAAGCAAGTTCAAAAGTAAGTGAAATGCTGCTGTTGCTGTCTGCTTTTTGATCTTCCTCTAAATACAAATATCAAACGTAAGCTAAATGAACTATTCTAGTACAAATTTATGTAGTATAAAATACTGTCATCTTTTTCCTGCCATAAATATATTTTAGCCTCCAAAAACTCACTGAACACCTTGTGCAGTTTTCAGTAGGGAACCACCAGTGCGTGGTCACTGATACATGACATAATGGCCAGGTAAGAGAAGGGAAAGTCCATTAAATCCTCTCGTGAAGTACCATCAGGAGGCTGCTTATTGGTAACTATTTCCCTTTCCTCAAGCAATCTGTCAAAGGTTTCGGCATCATTTCAGTAAAGATGCCCCAGAATCATGCAAATCTGTGTTCTGGCCATATAACTTGTTGGAAATCTTAAAGAAATTCTGTAAAAGTCCTGGTACTAACTTACCCGTGAGAGGAAGTGAAACCCAGTGCTGTAACTGCCCATTATTTCTTCATTTTTTTACCCTGTTCTCAGTTCCCTACGCGCTTCCTCCTCTTCCTCTCCAGTCAAATGAAAAGGTACTTCAAGGTCTAGGCCTGCATATCTTTAATAATAATTAAAAAAAATGTGCCTGCTCTTGAGGGATTGAGAATTAATTGTGGGTTTCATTGAAAATGAGACCCTTCTTTGATTCTCAGACTCCTTTGCTTTTTTTGCGGATTGTATCTATGCAACTGATCCTTGCTGGTTTCAGTTCATCATTTCCTTTCCACTGCATCATGGCAACATCCAGAGGGTGGGTGTGTAATCAGTAAGGCTTGGTTTTGTTTGTTTTCATTCTTCTTCCTCCATAATGTCTGTCTGACAATAACAGCATTTTCAGGGCACTCCATCCACGGGTCTGTGTATCACGTGTTTTAATGTGTTCTTGGTGAAGCAGCACAGTCCCAAGTTCCATGGCTTCTTAGACTTTAAATTTTCATCAGCAGAAGCTTTGGCCTAAGTACATTCCTCCTGCAGTCCAGAAGTCACTGCTGCCTAAGGCTTTCCCCTAAGAGCTCAACCTAGGAACACTTAAGAATACGTGGGATGATTATCCTGTTGAGTGTCCGTGTGTCTCTTCCCCCTGCTGCCCAAATTCACTGTCGCATGCATGTACCTGCCTTTTAAGCTACTTCTGTTCACGACAGAATTGGCATAGCTTTGGCCAGTGCACAGAACCTTACTTGGACTAGCTTTTTTTTCTATATTTGCAAAATAAGGTTAGTATTTTCTGTTTTAGATCTGCATCTATGTCAGTCTATTTTACACATAGACTTTATATTGGGATATTATGCATTATTATATATTATAATAATAATATAGAACAGTACAAGCTTTAATAAGTTATATTATACCATTATATATAATAGTATGCCCTTTCTAGCATGATATGGCATTGTATATAATTATCGTATAGTATTATAGTGCTATTTAAGTTATTTCATAGTAAAATACCTGCCCCACAAAATTGTTCTTATAAAAAATTCATAAAGGCTTTTCCTTTTAGCTGCTAAAAGGGCGTTATAACATTTTTTTAATCTGATATATGTTAACTTGTTAATCAGAATTGCTATACTTTACAATTATTTCTTTTATTTCAGCCAAAGTCAGGAGACTTTATGACATAGCGAATGTCCTCAGTAGCCTTGAGCTTATCAAGAAAGTTCACGTTACAGAGGAGAGAGGTAGAAAACCAGCATTCAAATGGACAGGACCCGAGGTCTTGCTGAATGTTCAGGGTAGGTGTATGTGTCATTTCCTGTTATTCATAGAATCACAGATGGTTTGGGTTGGAAGGGACCTTAAAGCCCATCCAGTTCCAACCCCCCTGCCATGGGCAGGGACACCTTCCACTAGACCAGGTTGCTCCAAGCCTCATCCAGCCTGGCCTTGGACACTTCCAGGAATGGGGCAAAACGTTCTGCTGATGTGTTTGATTGGTTCGTTGTTTTCTCTGCTGGATTTTTTTCTTTTTGACCAAAAGACAGTAAACTGAGCAGAAAGTCTTTGCTATTCACACCACCGTCCTTGGTCCCTGACAGCACAGCACACCAGTATACGTTGCCAGGCCGTAGATGTACTCATACTGAGACTCTTGCAGTTCCAGTTTTCCTCCTGCTGGTGCTTCAAGAATTTTCAGTCCAGCTCATATAACCACTTTTAGTTACTGAATCTGCACGTGACGCGTATTAACTCTTTGGGGTTTTTTTCTGCTTTTTAGATACAAAACTTGAAACAACTTCTACGACCTGTCCCCCACCTACTTCAGAATCCATCACTTCCAAAGAGCAGTGTTCAAAAAAACTTTTTCCTTCCAGAGGAAAGCAAAACTTCACTCGGCATCCATCTCTGATAAAGTTAGTTAAAAGTATAGAAAATGACAGAAGAAAGATCCAGTCTGCTCCAACCAGTCCAGTTAAAACAAGCACAAGTATGTATCTCTTCCAACGTCTGTTTTTACCTCCGCTGCAGCAAACTGCAGGAGATGCGGGTGTGTGGGCATCCCTGCTTTCAACAAACCTGTCTGAAAACTGTCAGAATTAGACAAGATGGGGAAAATACCTGTTGCCTGTCAATTTGAGGCTTTACAAGTTAAAACGATCCACGTGCAGTGCCAAAGCCCTGCGCTTAGCAGAAGGTTTGGCGGACCAAATCCAGTCACAGCCTGGGCAGCTGCAACAAAGCGAATATATTCACTGTGATCTGGACCAAGTTCAGCACGCTGTAGGGAGCTCTATAGCCTAGCAAGGAGTGTCAGGTTACTATTTTTGGTTTAAGGAGACTATCAGATCTCTTTTTACATGTCACTGGCTTGACTCTAGGTGACGTCTTAGCGGCTACAAACTTCTGTTTCCGTAGTATAGCTGATTCTCCGGATATTGTATCTTTATGAACGGCTCTTACCCTGGTTTGTTGTGGAAACTGTGCTCCAAATCTTACTAAGTACTTCTGTATTCCCTAAAATTGCCCAAGGATTACCTATCAGTGTTGATGTTCTTGTCAGGCATCCTCTTCGGAGGGACAAAAGCTGGGGCTGAGGCTTTAATGTTTGTTGGACTTGAGTGACCATCCCGGTGATCAAATGAAGCCTGGTTTGCAGTTTGAGGATAACACAAAGCCTTCGTGTCTTGTCATCAAATGCGTGTGCTACGTGAAATAGCGTGGTCTCCTCAAGACAGAATTTAACTCCTGCCTTCCATGAACTAACAGTTTTGCTTTGCCCCGCCAACCAGGTACCAACCAAAATGCATCAGCTTTCCCCAGTAAAACAGCTCAGGTTCCAGCAGCCGCTGAACACCAGCTGGAAGGACAACCCAAGTAAGTTTGTGCAGCCTTAAAGCGGTAACCTCTGATACTGCAGGCTCTCTTTTTTCACTTATTATTTTCTGTTTAGTGGATTGAGAAGTACAAGTGAACGTTAAGTCATATTGCAGAAAATAATTTGTCAGGGCATTCCTTTCTGTAGGAGGGTATTAAAATCTATTTGGGCACCATTTTTGTTTTGGTTTTTTTTAAGGAAAGCCAAAGAGATGCCAACAAAATTATCAAGATCTGCTTTGGAATGCAATCTGTCCTCGCCTGAGGTAGGCCCCAAGCCCGAAGCTCCTGGCACCGCAGCACCCTCTCAGCAGGCAGCTCCCACACAGCCGCTGCGCGTCTGTCCCCCAAGCCACAGCTCGGTCTCGCCAGTAATGCTACCTCACACGCACTCTGCTCTTTCGTACGCAATATATCTGCATCCTTCCCAAGCCCACACTGTGACACCATACAGCCTGAGTTTCATGCTGCAGCCTCTACCCTGTGCTAATGGAACTGGAATTAAGGGTATTAATTCCAGAGTAACCACTGAGGAAGGGGACAATCGGATAGCTACAGATGATCCAACCAAATCCTTGACAGCTAAAGAAAGACCACCTGTAAAATCACACACTCCACCACAGAAGTGCCCTAAAAGATCCCAAGCATTACAAGAGAATGATGTGACTAAAAGGCCTAGAGTTGACAAGGAAAGCCTTGATCCTCCTCCGGTAAGTTCATTTATTTTTGAAGTGCCATTTTATAGCTTGATGGTGTTGCCACCTGCTTGTTTTCAGAGTGATTTAGGAGCCTTCCAGCTGTTGTCAAATTTGTAAACCAGTTGTAAAGAAGCCAGCGGGGGGAGTCATCTTGGAAAAACTTAAGACTTTAGCTGCTTTAAGAGCATTTGTGCTGCAGAATGGCAGAACCCTTGCTGTGTGAAATAAGGTTTCCCTTCTCCAGGCTGAACAAGCCCAACTCTCTCAGCCTGTCCCCAGAGCAGAGGGGCTCCAGCCCTCGGAGCATCTCCGTGGCCTCCTCTGGACTCGCTCCAACTGGTCTATATCCTTCTCATGCTGAGGGCTCCACAGCTGGACGCAGCACTCCAGGTGGGGTCTCACCAGAGCAGAG